CGTTTGAAATTTAAAACACACTATAAACTAAACAAAACCCACTTAGACTCGACTCATAATCAAACAATTAGATGTAAATTAGAGTAAACCAAAGAAAAATCGAACCGGAATTCGGTTAAACCGGTCCTACTTTCACTCTACTTAATTCCACCACTCATATATATATACACACACATCTCTCTACTCCTTTTCTTCCAACACATTCTCTCTCCCTCCGTCAATGGAGAAAACCCTAGCTACTTCCCATACAAAACGCTCATCTTCTCCGTCATCTCCGTCTCAATCCACCGCCGTGAGCACACGCGCCGCCGGATTCAATCGGAGAACCAAACAGAAACTGTCGGATGCAACGGCGAGTGTAAGAGTAGAAGATGACGATGAAGACGATGAAGAAGGAGTGGAGGAGAAGATAGAGGCGCTTCAGACAATAGTTCCCGGAGGAACGGCGCTTGGTGTCGACGCGCTGTTCGAAGAGACGGCTAGTTACATTTTGGCTCTGCAATGTCAGATCAATGCCATTAAAGTTCTTACTTCGTTTCTTGAGCGTTGTGAGAAAGACGAAATGAAGTTTGGAGGTTGATGATGATCAACACACAATTTGAAACTTTTCTTTCTCAAATCGTTGGACAAAAAAGAAGGGAAAAGAAAAAAAAACTCTCACTTTGTTCAACTTCTTTGATATTTTTTTACTTGATTTTATTTTTTTGATTGTGGCTCTTAGTTTGGGTTCATAATTTAGTGTTTATTTCTTATGTGTTTTTTTTCATTCCAAATATTGCGCAAAAAACGAAAAAAAGATCTCCACATTTTTTCCTTTGAAATTCGGAAATTAATCAAGTTTGGTGGTTTTAAGGGAATTCATGTCAATATAATGAAAATAAATATATATTTGATAAATGTAGTAAAGTAAATTATTACTTTTTTCATTTATATACCATACATATATATTTGATAAATGTAGTAAAGTAAATTATTACTTTTTTCATTTTTATACCTTATACCAACCAATAGTATTGTCAAGAAGATATAAACTCAT